CTGGGAACCCGACAGATGCCCACGGCGGAGCTGCTGCTGGACGGCACCCGCGCTCGGCTGGTACGTCGACGCTTCGCTCTGCTGTGTCTCGTTTACGGTTCTGTAAAAAAACACAATGTACCGTTTTAAAAGAGCACAAAGTGACACGTTCTTGATAGAGTTCTTTAAAGTTATAGTGAGAACATTAGCAGAGTCTGTTCTCACATTCACGCTAGGTCACTACTGTTCTACAGTTTCTCGTTAGGCTGAATGAATAACCGACTCTAAATGTAGGTATTGTGATATAGACTGAGTCTGTTCTACGGTTTCTCATTAGGCTGAATGAATAACCGACTCTAAATGTAGGTATTGTGATATAAACTGAGTCTGTTCTACGGTTTCTCATTATAAATATATAATTTAATTACTAAATTAAAATGAATTTTCTCTCTGTGTGTAGTTATCAGAGGAGGGAAGGGGCGTGGCCTCCATAGCTAACATGCTAACTCTCACCAGGATCCACAACACAGTGTCTGCTGTAGCGGCTATGAGGAGGTAATCAGTGTACATATGTAAACATGTTTATTGTTGATGATGTTATGGATAGTGATGAATTACTGATTATTATTATTGATTGATTAATTATTGATTGTTGTGGTGTCAGGATAACCCAGCTGGGCAGGGAATACTCCACTAAGCGCTCCGTGTTCGGAAAGCTGCTGAAGGACCGTCCACTGCACGTACAGACCCTGAGCCGGCTGGAGGTATCTCACTGATCTCAGTCACAGTGCAGTGACAGCGCCCTCTAGTGGCAGCAGCCGCCGGTCACTGTTACGCTACCTGTCCACTTGAGCTTGCTCTCGCCAAAAAATGTACAATAAACAAAATTCTGCTTTTTATGCTTTTATAGTTTTCAGAGTGCATCTGTCATCCACGCTAGGTACCTTAGCACGTAACCTACACTCTTAAAAAAGATGGTTCTTCAATGGTTCTTTAGTAAATATATGATTCTATATAGAACCATATACACTTAAACAGCTATCTGCATGCTTAAATGGTTTTCTGCATTGCAAAATTGTTCGTCAGATTGATGGAGAACGTGTCGTAAATGGTTCTATATAGAACCTTTTCGAAAAGGCACCAAAAAAGGTTCTGCTGTTGTTACGATGTCAAGCTTGTCACAATAGCAGAACCCTTTATTCTGCTATACAGAACCATTTTCAACAACACATTCTTCATCAATCTGAAGAGCCGTTCCACCATGCAGGGAACCAGTTAAGCATGCAGATGTTCTCGGTTCTAAATAGGACGATTGTCTTTACTAGAGAACATTTCAAGAACCATCCTTTTAAGACTGTATGAGCTCTGTATGATTTAACTCCACCCATTTAAACTTCGTCCAATCAAACGTCTTCTCTCCAGATCTTCACTGTCTGCAGTTCGGTATAAAGCCAGCACTCATTTGCATAAAGGTGTAATCTGCATTTGCATAACGTTGAAACATTTTCCTATTTCGTCGCACCACAAACAGCCGAGTGAACCGTTACGGATTCGTAAACGGTTTAAACGACAATCAGAACCTCAGCTTCCTGTTTCCAGTGGCACTGTAGAAACATCAGCCAGCTAATGCAGACAGCCTGCTGAGCTCTACACTGCCCCCTGGTGGACTGTTAGCCATGGTTGTTAGCTAAATCACATCAAGCAGTCAGATGGGACTAAACTGTAATAGGCTGAGTGGGCGTGGCTGAGTTGCTGCAGGCTGAGTGGGCGTGGTGTATGAGTGTACAGGTGTTGGTGATGTCAGAGCACTGTGCCCCTGTGTGATCAGGTGGAGCTGCTGCAGGCTGAGTGGGCGTGGCTGAGCTGCTGCAGGCTGAGTGGGCGTGGCTGAGCTGCTGCAGGCTGAGTGGGCGTGGTGTATGAGTGTACAGGTGACTGTGCTGTCAGAGAGACTGAAATGCCCCCGTGTGGTCAGGTGGAGACCCGCGCTGCCTTCCTGCTGATGATGGAGGTTTGTCGTCTGCTGGGTCGAGAGGAAACAGGAGTGGCTACAGAGAGAGAGACTCACCTGTTCAGGCTGCTCACACCTGTCGCTAAACTCTACTCAGGAAAACAGGTACACGCCCACATCCTTCACCACAGCACAGCCACTAAAACGCCGCGGTGAAGCGCCCCAGTCGCCTGATATTTCATTATATATATTCACTTTTTTCTGTTTTTGTTGTTTTTGCATTTATAACTTAATTTTACTTTTTAGTTATAAAGCACTGTGAGATGCTTTGCGTATGAAAAGTGCTGTGTTAATAAAATGTATTATTACAATACTAATTAGTATTATTGTTTTAATTATTAATTATTGTTCCCGTCAAATGTGAACAACCTTCAAAATCATTAATAATTGAATACATATACAAAATTATTTTTTATAATATAATAAAAATAAGGCAAACTTTATTCATAAGCACTCTTCATACAAACAGCAGCTCAGAGTGCTTTACAGCCGAGCAGTGAAGCGGAATTAGATGGAATAAAATCTGAATTACTGATGTTCAGACAGACAGACAGACAGACACACAGACAGACACACAGACGAGTCCTGTATGTTGAGCTTTATTATCCTGTGTGAATCATAAACACCACAGACTGAGGTAGACCGATATGACCCCCCTCCCCATGGAGGACTGACCCTCTCTGGACAGGGCTCTATTCACACTGCACTGCAGTCACTCTCTCCTATGTAGTCTCACAGCTGGGTGAACATCTGGATAGTCTGCTTACAGCCCGCTTTAGTTTGAGTTCAGTACCCCTGAGGAGCCCCCTGGTGTCAGTCTGTGTAACGATCTGACACCAAAGGGAAAGCACACCCAAAAACACAGTTAACACAGAATAACACAGAATGTTTTCACTCATATTTAGAGAAATTAACACAGTCTGTTTTATTACTAGAGCGCACGTCTGAATAACACTGTTAACTAAATATGTAAATATATTTGTTATTGTACACACATACGCTATGCTACAGAAACTCCCTCTCTTTAGTGCTGAGTTCAGATTCAGATCTGACAGGTCAAAATCAGATTTTACACTAATTTCATATTACAGAATCAAATCTGATCTTAATTTAGGAATCTTATCTGATCTTACAGCATCTTATCTCCAGTTAGAGAATCTTAACCTACTCGATCAGAGTCGACAATCAGCTGCCATGTCTGTTTTCTAGCCACCAACCAAACACACACAGCTGAAACGTAAACACGTCATCAGAATAACGTTAAAATGTGAGTTAAGCTGCTGTTACTGATATAAAAAAGGTCAAACAGAACTAAAGTGTGATAAACTGTAAGGTAGTGAATACTGTGAGAGCGCCCCCTGCTGTTTATCAGAGCGTCGCCGCTCCCCAGTTTCAGTCTCCATTTCCCAAACGCTTTAGCCGAGCGCGCTAACGTTACTCCTCCTAATAAACAGACACACGTTCAGCTCCGTCTCCTCATTATTCACCACCATCACTGTAATATTTCATCATCAACATTAACACACGAAGGTGATCAGAGGGGCGGTGGAGATCGAGTCTGCAGCGTCTGAGATCTTTAAAACGCAGAGTTAGAAAAGAAAATCATCTCACAGTGAAAGCAGCGTTTTACAGTAGGAATAAATGGAGCTCATTATGCTGGTAGTGAACTATGCTGCTGACTCAGCTGCCTAAAAACCATAGAAACGGACCTTAAACAGAAGTGAGGACCCTGTTGGGGTTCATCCTAAAGTTAGGACAGGATTTAGGAGGTTTAGTCTAGTTAGGATGTTTGTGTGATGCTGTTTTCTTATCTGGAGTTCATGATGAGATTATGAAGGTAGGAGCTGATATTCTGGAATAGATACTGTCCAAAATTCAGTCCGTACTGAAGTCGTCATGGAGACCAAACAGATCAGAGTTAGGTCTTTTTCAGTGATCACCAGCCCTGAACCTGGAGAACCTGGATCAGACGCAGGAGGCTGTTTACCCCCATCAGGAAATATCAGATCAATCCACCGACTGAGATCTTCTCTGTTATTGATTTTCAGACTCATTAACATTAGCACATGCAGCGCTGGCCTGCAGAAATAGCCCAGGGTCAGGGGCCCAGATTCACAAAAGTGCTTTAAGATATATGATATATAGCTTAAGTATGTGTTCTGAACTTCATTCTTAAGAAAATAGTTTTGAAAAATCTTCAAATAACTTTTAAGGATTCTTTCATTTTTTTAAGAATAATTCTCAGAAGTAGTATTCCTGAAAACAAACTGTTCTTAAAGGTAAAATGTTGGGGCTCCCGAGTGGCGCAACCGTCTAAGCGTTGGCCCTCAGCAGGAGATCGCGAGTTCGATCCCTGGTGATGCTACAGCCGTCCGTAGCCGGGAGTCCAAGAGAGCACAGTTGGCCTCGCTCTCTCTGGGTGGGTAGGCTGGCCCCCCCTTCTCCCCCCATCACTCAGCGCGATGCTAGTCAGTGCTGGCGTCTGTTAGCTGACGTAACAGATCTGGCGGTTGGCGCTTTCCTCCGAGCGCGTTCGGCTGTCCAGTGACGTTGCGTGAGCGGCAGTTCGAAAAGAAGCGGTGGCGCTTCACAGGTCTCGGAGGAAGCCTGTGTTAGCCTTCACCCTCCTAGCGTTGATAGCATCGTGTGATTGGGGGAGTCCTAACTAGCGGGTGGAATTGGAGACGACTAAATTGGGGAGATTAAAAAAAAAAAAAGGTGAAATGCTAATTTTTGAAACACTTGGTTTGATGTTTTTCCTTAGTTTTGCTCCTGTGAGTGGATTGGACTAAATAAAAGAAATAACTGTTAATACAAAATCAAAATTGTCCACTTGGAATTATGAGGTTCTGACATTTTTCTCAAAATTGAGTTTTTCTCATGTTCTTATTCTGTGACAACTTCTTAACATTATGTGAGGTGTTTTTTAGGCTGTATTCATTTTTGGAAAAAGGTTCTGTCTCCACAGTCCAACTCTAACTTAGTTCTATAAGGTTCTACCTGTGAGCCTATCAGCACTTCTCATACACCCAAGAGGACCAATGAGGTTCTGCTTCTCTGTCATGTCACCGCTCTGCTCAGTGTCGGCGGAAAACGTTTATAGAACTCTATGAAAGTTGAAAACATGTTGCTGAAGCTCTGCCTGTCTTCTACAGCTCTTTATAAAGTCTCACTGTCAGATGTTATAAAGGTGATTAAACAGTGAACGTTTGAACTGATGGGCTCTTAATTACAACATAAACATTAATTAAATCCTCCGTCTGTCTTTCCTTGTTCTTCTTTCTCCCAAAATAAGACATTTCGGCTCATTAGAGTCACATTTCTGATATAAAACTGAACTTCACACGGCCTTTAGACTCCACTGACCTGCTCCACTGACCTGCTCCACTGACCTGCTCCACTGACCTGCTGGGACAGTTTATTAAATAATGCTCCACTCCATCTGAGAGTCTAACAGTAGTGTGACATTAGATGTTAAGCCAAGCCTTTAGAGCATCTACTCATTTCAGACATAACTGTAGTGGATAAACAGGCAGATTACAACATCATTAATTTATTAAATTAATAGTAATATTAAAATGGTTAATTGTTTTGGCATAGCGGCCCATTAGACCCCAGTTACCCCTCTGATCAAACGTTATGGTACAGGACCACTCCATTATGAAGGGTCCATTATGGCTGTAATTGAATTTGGCCACCAGATGGCGCTGCTTCATTTCCTATAAGAACTGAACTGGCTGAATCCGACTCAGCAGAGACTTCACTGAGACAACGTCCCCCCAAATGGACACCTGAACAGTGAAGTACAGGGACCAGGAGTCTAAAACTTCAAAGCTGATTTTTATGTTTTTTAACTAAATGTAGTCTGGTGAAAAATAATCATAGTTAATTCTTTTGTACTTTACTAATTTCACTGATTTTTTAATAAAGGAAGACACAGTGTGCAGGACATAATCTTGTATGTTGAAAGAATATCATCGTAGAACTCGCTGAAATATCTCGGTAGCTCTGGTTTGGCCTGCAGTCGCCTTTTGAGGATAAAAATGTGCTGCCACATGTTTGAGCAGCATCAATGTCAGCTTTTCTGACTCAGAAACGAGCCGAAACTCCACAAATCCAGCAGCGCACTGGTTCAAAGCGAGGAGGCGAGAGTTGGACACATTGACATTGACATTTCCTAACAAAGCTAAAGTTACAACAGTGTTAATTATCAATTAATATCAATAATCATTATTATTAATAATTAATGTTAATTATTAAGAAACCCGTGACAGAAATTTGCCGCTGTTATTATTTTGGAATTCATCACTGACCCAGACCTGCAGTGCAGCTGCCCAGCAGAGTGATACTGATTAACCTGTTCTGAACCGTGTCTGAACTCTGTTTCAGGCGGTTGCCGTGGTGTCTGAGGGTTTGGAGTGTTTTGGAGGTCAGGGTTACATAGAGGACACTGGACTGCCCGCCATGCTGAGAGACGCACAGGTACAGCACACCTACATTCACACTCACTGGCCACTTTATCAGAAACACCTCCGCATATCTACACTCACGGTCCATTCGATCAGCTCCACTGACCATACAGTTTCACTTTGTAGTTCTACAGTTACTGAATGTAGTCCATCTGTGGCAGAGGTGGTATTAAGTGTTTAGTGAGGTGGTATTGAGATTTTAGTGAGGTGGTAGTGAGATTTTAGTGACGTAGTGAGGTGTTAGTGACATGGTTGTAATGTTGTAGTGAGGTTTTAGTGATGTGACAGTGAGGTTTTAGTGATGTGACAGTGAGGTTTTAGTGATGTGGTATTGATGAGGTAGTGAGGTTTAGTGATGAGGTAGTGAGGGTTAGTGATGTGGTAGTGATGTGGTAGTGAGGTTTAGTGATGAGGTAATGATGAGGTAGTGAGGTTTAGTGATGAGGTAGTGAGGTTTAGTGATGAGGTAGTGAGGGTTAGTGATGTGGTAGTGATGTGGTAGTGAGGTTTAGTGATGAGGTCGTGAGGTTTAGTGATGTGGTAGTGAGGTTTAGTGATGAGGTAGTGATGTGGTAGTGAGGTTTAGTGATGTGGTAGTGATGAGGTAGTGAGGTTTAGTGATGAGGTAGTGAGGTTTAGTGATGTGGTAGTGATGTGGTAGTGGGGTTTAGTGATGTGGTAGTGATGAGGTAGTGAGGTTTAGTGACATGGTAGTGATGAGGTAGTGAGGTTTAGTGATGTGGTAGTGATGTGGTAGTGAGGTTTAGTGATGAGATAGTGATGAGGTAGTGAGTTTTATTGACGTGGTAGTGATGTGGTAGTGGGGTTTAGTGATGTGGTAGTGATGAGGTAGTGAGGTTTAGTGATGTGGTAGTGATGAGGTAGTGAGGTTTAGTGATGTGGTAGTGATGAGGTAGTGAGTTTTAGTGATGTGGTAGTGGGGTTTAGTGACGTGGTAGTGATGTGGTAGTGAAGTTCAGTGATGTGGTAATGATGTAGTGAGGTTTAGTGACGTGGTAGTGATGAGGTAGTGAGGTTTAG